ACATCTCACAAGAAATAACAACTAATCTGGAGAACAGATCAAGAAGAGAAAACAACCACAATCAGACTACTTGAAAGTTGCAATCAGAAAAAGAATCTTGATACAATAATACAAGATATTTCTTAAAGAAATATTAAAGAAAATTGTCCTGAAGTGTTAGAACAAGAGGGGAAAGTAGAAATAGGAAAAATCCATCAATCACCATCTGAGAAATCCTATAAGGAAAACCTACAGGAATATCATAGCTAGATTCTAAGACTCCCAGCTCAAGGAGAACATATTATGAGCAACAAGAAAAGAAAACATTCAAGTATGGCAGAGCCACAATTAGAATCACGTAAGACCCAGCAGTGGCTACATTAAAAGACCACAGATCTTGGAACACTACATGTGGAAGAGCAAAAGAACTGGGGCTGAGGCCAAAAACAGAATATCCAGCAAAGTCAAGCATAATCTTGAATGAAAAAAAAGGGTGTGGGCACTCAATGAATTGCCAGACTTTCAGGATTTTGTGGCAAAAAGAGCTTAACTCAGTAGAAAGTTTGACATACAAGATCCAAGAAAAACATAAAGTAAATATCAAAGACTTATTGTAAGGGACTCAATGAGAACAGACTATTTTTTTTTAAGAGAAAATGTAGGGGCATCTAGGTGGTGCAGTGGATAGAGCACTGGCCCTGAAGTCAGGAGGACCTGAGTTCAAATCCGGCCTCAGACCAAACACTTGACACCTACTAGCTGTGTGACCCTGGGCAAGTCACTTAACCCCAATTGCCTAAAAAAATGTACATTGTAGTCTAAGATTATTATTAGTATTTGGGTAGATTGAGAGAAATGAGTAGAGCTGAGCATGATGTGATACTAAAAAGTAAACCGTCTAGGAGAAGATAAAAAGTGTAATTACTTTATGAAAATGAGGTGTGAGATGAAGAACAGAAACAGAATAATTAGATGGGGGAGGAGGGCTGTGAGTTCTGGAACCCTACTCTCATTGGGAATGGGTTAAACAGGGGACATTACATGTATATCTGGAAGGTCATGAAAGTCTTATAAATTCAGGAAGAAATAAGAGGCTAAGGTAATAGGGAGGGGAGAAGATAAGGGAGGGATTTTAGGGTAGGGGAGAGAATAAGGGAAGGATCTTTGTTTGGGGTAGGTTAAATAATAGGAGGTCAAGCTAGCAGGTAGAGGTAAAGTAGAGGAGTCAGGAAGGATAGGAAATAAGAGATACACATAAACAGGAGTAGAATTTACTAGGGAAAAAATGCAGGGATAGTAATCATGATCTCAGACAAAGTTAAAACTCAAATAGAGTTAATCAAAAGGGAAAAATAGGGAAACTATGCCACACTAATCAATATTGTTTTAGGCTATTTAAAATAGCTAGCTAGCATAAGGTTGGAATGTTGATATGGTATAGGAAACAATGAGTTGATGGACTTAGAAAAAATCTAAAGACTTGGACTTGTGAAGGAAGATGTTATTCACCCTCAGAGAAACAAAGGACAAACAAGTATAACACAGTCTTACATAGGTGTATATGAATGTATGTGTCTACATATGAGTACGATTGTAGATATCTAAGTATATGTATGTGAATGTAAGTGTATATGTACATGGATATGTATATATGCATATATATATATATATATTTCTTTATGGGTGCATATGTGCATGTATGTCTATGGGTGCATACACACTCACACACACAAATACACACACAGACACACATGCATATCTCTGCTTAATTGTAGGCTTCTAGGGAGAGGAAGGGGGAAAAAAGAACAAAGTAAAAAAGTACGCAGCAGAAAACAAAAGAAAACTTACAAGAAAGTGAAGAAAAGATGGACAGCTCTCAGCACAATGCATAGTATTTGTTATATAGGCTTTCTTGATATGGAAATTTATTTCTGTATGTACTGAATCCTTTCTTATGTTCTGCTATGCACATTGAAAAAAAAAGTAGGTAGGTGGCATAGTGCATAGAGACCCTGGGCAAGTCACTTAACGTCTGATTGTTTCAGATTCTTCATCTGGAAAACACACACAAAAAGGCACAAAACCTTGTTCAAGAAACAAATGCCTTGAAAATTACAATGAACTAAACAAGAGCTAATGACTCCATGAGACAACTAAAAATATCAAAACAAAGTCAAAACACGGAAAAATGGGGGGGGAGGGGCATGGTGCATATCAGAACAAGGATAACTGAACTGGAAAAGAAATGTAATTTAAGAATTACTAGACTACCATGAAAACCCCAAAAGAGCCTAGATATATCTATTTCATGGAATCATAAAAGAAAACGGCCCAGATCTCTTAGAACAAGAGTGAAAAGTAGGAAGTGAAAGAATTGACCAGTCACCTCCTAAAAGATTCAAAAAGAAAACCCCACACTATATTAAATCTAAAATCCAGAATTTCCAGGTCAATTCATCAATAAGCATTAATTAAGCACCCATTATGTGCTAAGTCATAGGTGTGGTAAAAAAAGTGGCAAAAGACACTCCCTGTTCTCAGGGGCTTACAATCTAACAGGGAAACAACAACAACCAGACAAGAAATCTACAAAGCAAGCTATATACTGGATAAACAGGAAATAATTAACAGAGGTATGGCACTGCAGTGAAAAGAGGTTAAGGAAGGTTTCCAGGGAAAAATGAAGGCCCTTTCTTGAGCTGAATTGTCAAGCATTCAAACTCTACTGCAGAGAGCACAACTCAGATGGGCTGGCTGCATTTTTGAATGCCAAACATACATTTGTCTAAGAGAACTCACACAACGCAAGTGCTCACATAGAGATAAGAAGAAGCAATAGAAGGATATTTTAAAGGTGTTTGAAGAACTTTGGAATTGATTGGAGACTTGGAAGACACTAGCACCAGTCACCCCAGCAGGGCATCCCTACATTGATGAAAGTGCTATGCTCTATGAGCAAAACAGAATTGCAGTAGCTCAAAAGAAACATGAGGTGCACACATTTAGAAACGTCTCTACTCTGAATTTTCATATGAATTATCTGTGGCCAACCTATGGCAGAGACTTCCGAGCTCATATTGTTTTCATCGGCTATAGTCAGACATACCGTACCTTGACCTTAACATAGTGATGTCAGTTTGATCCTTTTTGAGAATTATTGTTCATTCTCAACCAAAGCAAGCCAAGGAAACCAGTAGCTTGACTTCAGGATGCCATGTATTCTAGGAATGGGAGTAAATGCTCAGAGTCAAGATATTCAGGGTTTGTAGAACAGACAGGAGCCCAGTGTCACTGCATCAAACAGTACTTGTCAAGGAGTAAGGTACAAGCAGGCTGGCAGGGTAGGAGCCAGATAAGTGATGAAGGGCTTTGAATGCCAAACAGAGCATTTTGTATTTGATCCTAGATGCCATAGAGAGCTACTAAAGTTTATTGAGAAGAGGAGTGACATGATTGAACCTGAGATTTAGGGAAATCACTTTGATGGCTGAATGAAGAATGTATTGGAGTGGGGAGAGACTTGTTGTAGGCAGATCCATCAGCAGCTATTGTGTGAGGGAATGAGGGTCTGTGGGCAGCTGGGTGGTACACTGGATAGAGCACTGTGCCCTAGTCAGAAAGACTCATTTTGCTCAATTCAAATCTGGCCTCAGACTCTTAGTAGCTGTGTGACCCTGGGCAGGTCACTTCATCCTGTCTGCCATAGTCTCCCCATCTCTCAAATGAATTGAAGAATGAAATGGCAAACCACTCTAGTATCTTTGCAAAGAAAATCCCAAATGGAGTCACAAAGTCAGACACAATTGAACAATAACAACAATGAGGAGGGTCTGCACCAGTGTGAGGGCAGTATCAGAGGAGAGAAGGGGGACTATATTAGAGATGCTTCAAAAGTGAAATCAACAGGCCTTGGTAATAGCTTGGATATGGGAGTGAGGAGTCCAGAAGCCCAAGGGACTAGGAGGATGATATTGCCTTCTACAGTAATGGAGAAGGTGAGGAGGGGAAGATAGTGTTTGGTTTTGGACAGGTTGAGACTAATATTTCTACTAGACATCTCCAGTAGAAGATGTCTATTTTCATCTACTTTCATCCAGACCTTGCTCCTGGCAAAATAAGGCAAAAGACTCACCTATAAGTGCTATGGGTGTGTTAAGCATTGTGCTTGGGGAAGGATCCAAGCTGTGTGACCTTGGACAAACCAATTAACCTTTCTTAGTTGTCATTTCTTTGTCTGTGAAATGAACGTTGGACTTGATGATCTTTCAGGTTCCTTTGAATTCTCAATGTATGATCCTGGTATATCACACACAAACACACACACACACACACACACACACACCCCAATTCCAGAACTATACTCTCAGATGCTAGCTGAACAGTAGACTGTCTTACAAGGTGACCATTTTAAAAAGCCATTTCCCAGAAAAGGGAGGTGGAGTAGAAGGAGGGAAGAAGTAGTAAGGGTAAAGGGGAAGAAAAGGGAGGGGTCTAAAAGAAGAGAGGTGGGACTGAGGGGGTAGTGGTCAAAAACAAAGCGCTAGTGAGCAGGGAAAAAGATAAAGGTGAAACAAAAGCATAAATGGGGGGAAAAGAATGGAGAGAAAGACATAGATAGCAATCAGTCATAATTGTGAATGTGAATGGGATAAACTCTCCCATAAAATGGAAGTGGAGAGCAGAATTGATTAAAATGCCATCCACATCCAAAGAAAGAACTATGGACTTTGAAAGTAGATCGAAGCATACTATTTGCTATTTTTTTCTCTCTCTGTTGTGTTTTGTTTCCTTTTTCTGATGATTCCTCCAATTGGTTCTAATTCTTACTTACAACATCACTAATGTGAAAATCTATTTAATAGAAATGTATATGTGTCACTTATATTAGATTGTACACTGTCTTGGGGATGGAGGTACAAAGGGATAGGTAGAAAAATTTAAAACTCTGAAGCTTATGGAACTGACTGTTGATAAATCAAAATAAATTAATTTTAAAAAAAAGTCATTTCCCTATCTTGCAGGTACCAGTATATGACTGGAACCCAGAAATCCAGGGTCTCCTCCTTAGTGCTATACTCTACGGTTCAGTTATCACAACAATACCAGGTGGTTATTTCTCTGGAGTTCTTGGAGGAAAGAAAATAGCTGGATTATCATTACTTCTCTGCTCAGTTCTCAGCCTCTTGACACCATTAGCAGCAGACTCCGGACTGCCTTACTTGTTTCTTGTAAGGATAGTACAAGGCCTGTCTCAGGTACCAGCACACCTTCAAAGTAGGTGAGTAAGACAGATCATGTCTCAATTTCATTCACAGTTCAAAATGTCTTCTCATCTTGATTTCAGGGGATGAATTTCAGTGCTCTAGCTGCATTTTGGCCAAAATGGGCTCCACCACTGGAACGTACTCAACTAAGTACCATTGGTTTATCTGGTAAAGACCCAATCATAACAGCTGTATTACATTTCTATCCCTCCTTATCTTTCCCACTTCCATCTTGGTGTAATTGGAAAAAGAGTTCTTGAAGGTAGGAACATAAATAAAATGGAATCACAGAAATTAAGAGCTAGAGAGCACATCAATGGTCATCTGGTCCAATTCATGCACAAAACTGGAATGCTAGAGACACAATACTTTGGTTCCCCTTTCTTACTTAATCTTAAATTTTGTGCAGATTGAAAATGCGAGTTATTCACACCCTCCTTAATTCCAATAGTTTAAAGAAAGCCCCAGAAACTTGAACTTCTAATGCTCTGACCCTGAACTTACTCTGAATCTTCAACTCAGGTACAACAATGGGAAATTTCATTGTGGTCATCGCGGGTGGTTTCCTCTGTGAGTCCCCAGGCTGGCCAAGTATCTTCTACATATTTGGTAAGTGACTTCATCTCAAATCCAACTGTTTCCATGTTTCAGGATTTCATTCCTGAAAATCTGCATCCCTTATGATATCCAGGTAGATCCCACATTAAAAGTTCATAAGTAATTAAGTTTAGAAAAGACAAGAAAGAATTTTACTCAAACTTCTAATCCAATGAGGAAAATTAGAGAAAGTTGAAATAATCTTTTCGAGGTCACACAGTAAGTTAGTGGCTGAATCAATATAACTAGTTTGCCTTCATTCTTTGTCCAGTGCTCTGGTTACTAGAGTCCAGCTGCTTCTAAAAAGGATGTTAAAAAAAAAGTTAAAAACATTCTTGGCCTGCCTATTTTGCAAATGTGTATTCAGTCAGTCAAGGAACTAGTATTTAATATCCCAGGCTCTGTGCTAAATGCTTGGAATATAAAGAAAGGCAAAAAAATACTCCTTGCTGTCAAGGCACTCATGGTCTAATGAGGAGATGTAAACAACTACGTAAAAGCAAACTATTGATAGGATGAATTAGAAATAATCTCAGGGGGAAGGCACTAGAATTAAGAGGGATCTAAAACCTTTCCTGTAGAAGGTGGAATTTTTGCTAGGGGTAAAAGGCAGAAGCAGCTATATGGTACAGTGGCTAGAGTGCTGGGCCTGAGGTAGGGAAGACTCACCTTCCTGAGTTCAAATCTGGTCTCAGACACTTACTAGCTCTGTGACTCTCAGCAACAAACTTCACCTTATATGCCTCATTTTCCTCATCTGTAAATGAGTTGGAGAAGGAAATAGCAAACTGCTTCAGTGTCTTTTCCAAGAAAACCCAAAATGGGGTCACAAACAGTTGGACACAATTGAAAAATGACTGAACAACAACAAAAAGAAGAGATGAGGGAAAGTATTCAAAGCATGTGGGACAACCAATGCAAATGCCCAGGGTGAGGAGATGGAGAGTGCTGTGTGTTAGGAACAGCAAAGGAGCCAGTATCATCAGATTACAGAAGATGTGGGATGGGGTGGGCAGAGAGAAGTGATGAAGTGGTACAAGTTGTAAAAAGAGTAGAAAAGTAGGGGAGGATCAGGTTATGAAGGACATTGAAAACCAAACAGAGGATTTTGTATTTGAGCGTGCAAATATGAAACTACTAGAGTTCATTGAGTTGGGGGATAGCATAGTCAGATTTCCATTTTAGGAAGATCAATTTGACAGCTGAGTGGTAGCTGAGCTGGAGTAGGAAAAGACTTGTGAAGAGATGACCAACCGGTAGCCTATTGCAACTCTAGGTATGAGAGTGTAACGGCTTACATCAGACTTGTGTCTGTGTCAGAAGAGAAGGGGGTGTAGGGAACTATTTTATTATGTTGTTCAGAAAACATTAATTATCATATTGTTTGAGTTTAACTTCAGGGGGCTAGAAATTCTCCAGCCCAAAAGCTTGCTCGACAAGTCAGACTGAACTCAGAGACACTCCAGAAAAGTTGGATGGCTTCAGGAAATGCTTAGACACCACTAAGATCTTATTTTGGGTCAACCCAATTCTTGCCTTTTGGGTTCCCAAATTTAGATGTTTATGTTTATTGATATACATCTCAATGGACGTTGCATGGGAACTGTCCTGTCTGCAAAGTCGCACCACTGAATATTAGCAGTTCCTGTGCTGATATTCTTGTCTGAACCCTATAAAACATAAATCTTACAGAGACCCATAAGGGATCCATACCTTCTTCTCACTCTCTGCATGCCAAGCAACCTATTAAAATTCTTTCCAAAACAATTTCAAGCTTTGGGGTTCATTCTCATGAATAACAGGAGCATCAGGAGAGATGTAATGAAGGTAAAATTGACAGGATGTGGTAACAAATTGCATGTAGAAGGTAAGACAGAGTGAAGGATCAAGGATGACACTAGGTCTTGAGGCTGGGGGACTGGAGAGATGGTGGGACTCTCCACAGTAATAGAGAAATTAGGAAGAATGGAAGGTTTGGGGGAAAATATGATGAGTTCAGTTTTGGGTATGTTGAATTTAAAATGTCTGCAGGACTCCCAGTTCAAGATGTCCAATAAGCAGTTACCAATGCAAGAGTGAAAGAGAGCAGAGGGGTCAAGACTAGATAAGGAGATTTGAGTCATTAGCCTAGAGATGATAATTGCATCCATGGAAGCTAATGAGACCACCAAGTGAAATACTATAAAGGGGAAAAGACTAGGGGTCAGAGTTAAAAGGAGGGACCTGGATGAAGATCTAGCAATGGAAACTGAAAAGGAGTGGTCAGATAGGTAAGAGGAGAAACAGAAGAAAGCAGAAGCAGTGTCACCAAAACCTGTGAAGAAAAGAATATCAAAGAAAAGAGGGTGATCACCATTGTCAAGGTCAAAGGCCAAGAAGGATGAGGATCGTAAGAAGGTCATTGTTGTTGAGTCATTTCAATCATGTCTGACTTTTTCTGACCCTATTTTGGGATTTTCTCAGCACAGATACTGGAGTGGTTTGCCATTTCCTTCTTCAGCTCATTGTGTAGATAAAGAACTGAGTTAGACAGGGTTAAGTGACTTGCCCAGGATCACATAGCTAGTAAGTTTGTGAGGCTGGATTTGAATTCGTGAAGATGAGTCTAATTCCAATCCCAGTGCCTTATCCACTGTGCCATGTAGTTTCCCAAAGGGTTATTAGATTTGTCCATTAAGAGATTATTAGGGCACCCAGGTGGCACAGTGGATAGAGCTCCAGCCTTGGACTCAGGAGGACCTGAGTTCACATCCAGCCTCAGACACTTGACACTAGCTGTGTGACCCTAGGCAAGTCAATTAATCCCAATTGCCTCATCAAAGAAAGGCAAAAAAAAGAGATTATTACTAATTTTAGATATAGCAGTTGCATTTGAATGATGAAGTCAGAAGCCAGATTGTAGAGAGTTAAGAATAGAGTGAGAGGAAAAGCAGCTGACACATGTAATATAGACAGTCTTCTTGAGTGTGGATGGAGAGACATGGGCATGTTTGTGGATAGTAAGGAAGCAGCCAGCAGACAGGGGGAGATGGAAGATAAATGAGAGAGTAGGGATGATAGAGAGACAGTGTGCTGGAAAGGACAGGGTGGAACTGGATCACGATGCATGTAGAATGGTTTGCCTTGGCAAGGAGAAGAGCTACTCACGTGAAAGAGGCAAGAAGAAGGAGATAGTGGCTGCAGAAGGCATCTGGGTTTTATGAGATGAAGTGGAGGGAAGAGAGAGCTCTGAGTGAATGGCCTCAATTTTTATGTAAAATATGAGGCAAGATTCTCAGATGAGAGGATGGGAAGTCAGAGAGTCATGGGTTTGAGGAGGAATGAGAGAGCTACTGTGGTAATTAGGATAGTGAGCTGAGTAAAGAAATGTGAAAGAATTACATTGTCATAGGGAACTCCCAGATGAGGTCACATAACACAAATTTATTGATGCTATGGAATATATACATTTTGAGTGTAACCCATCAACATAGTTCCATGATTTTCCCCCCTACCTTCATTCATCGGCATGTATAAGAGTGTAAGCAGGATATGAGTGAAGTGACCAAAGACTAAGGGTTTGCAGGGCAAGGTCAGCAATATGATAAGGGAGTAAGGGACTCAAGAAAAGTATGTCATTGAAGTGGTTCACAATCATTTCAAGATGGGCAAAGGAGGACAGTGTAGTGTAACAATGATGGGCTGGGAAAGAGCCGGTGAGTCAAGATGGGTCAGGGCACATATGAAGACCAGGGTTTCAGATTGCAAAGCAGAGAGAAAGGTAGTATAAGAATAGATTGCAGTCAGGTAAGCAATGGTAGATTTCATCAACATGGAAATGATGCTGATAGCATTTCAATCAGGTCTAGTTTATCTAACTATGAAGAAATCTCTCAAGGAGAGATCACTGGTGCTCCATGTTGCCTCAACTAAATAGATCTTCTTAACACACACTGTTTAAAAAGGTGTCACTAGTGAAGGGAATTCTGAGCAATAGTCAAGAATCATGTAAAGTGATCAATGTAAATTCCAACATCTGCATCAATGGCTTCTGCTCATCAAAATCACTCCAAGATTATCTGTTCTCAGGGGATGAGCTGCCTTCAACAAACCTCTGCTTGAGATTCTAAAGAAGGGGCCACTGATTTTCTGGATAAGGTTCAAGTCTATGGATTTAACAACAGACATGTTTTAAATTTCTTTTCCTCGTAGATTTAACAATCATCAAGAAACACACATTTCAATGTACGAAGAATAAACTGTGACATCTTATTGTTTTCATGTAAAAAGATAACTTATGGACCTCACTACAGATTAATTATCTTCAATGAGGCTTCAGAGCACCCCAGAGTAATCTGTGCTTTTTCTGAGCATATGTTAATAAAGAGTAAAAATAATAAGCCATTATTTTGTTACTGCCTCTTAGCTTTACCAAGCATTACAAGCTGGGGCTATGTCAGGGGCTCAAAATTTGGGTGAAAAGAAACCTCAGTTCCCTAAGTCTGAAAGCCCAAGATCTGCCCCATGTAACAAATTCAATAAAAAGGAGTGACTCTAAGCAATTAAAAAAAAAACCTTTGACTAATATTTCCTACAGATCATTTCTTAAACATTTCTAAACCTGGCAACAGTTCTCAGAACGATCTATGCTAAGCTTCACTCATAGGAAAGAAGACATTACTCTAATTTCTGTTGCCACCTGTGATACTTAACACGTTGCTTGATAATAAAAGTCTGCCACTTTGGAGGTGCTCCTAGAGTCAAACTTAGAGAATTAGATAAGTGGAGAATAATGATGTGAGTTGGAAAGCTGAGTGAGCTGGGGTAAAATCAAAAACTAAAAGGGCAATATTGGCTCATCAAGAAATGAATAGAATTCTGTGTGTGATGGCTTTTACAAGATGGGAGTGGGAGCATGTCAACTTGGGGCAGAGTCCTATCAAATAAGACACAACTGGAAAAGCATTAACTTGGTCCTCTTTTCCCTAGGAGGCATTGGCTGCATCTTCTCTATTATCTGGTTTTCTCTTGTTTACGATGACCCTAGGGAACACCCATTTGTAAGTGACAGTGAAAGAGAATACATTATTTCTTCATTGGCTGAACAGGTGTGTTAAAAATAACAGCTGGCTTGGGAAAAAGGCATTGTATAAAATTTCTTAGATAATGATTTCGTGTCCAAGACATGTGAACAACTAACAAATATGTAAAATACCAAAAGTCATTTCCCAATAGATAAGTGGTCCAGGGATATAAAGAAATGGTACTCAAAAGACAAATTGCAAATTACTAATAGCCTTGTAAAGAATGCTGTACATTACTAATAATGAGAAAAATACAAAATCAAAATAATGCTGAAGTCTTGCCACACACCCAGAAATTTCCATAAATGACAAAAGATGGGAATAGTTAGTTTTGAACAAGTTGTGAAATGATAAGCACCTTGTGAGAGAACTGTGAATTAGTACAACCATTTTGGTCAGCAATTTAGAATTATGTGAATTAAGTGACTAAACTGTCAATACCACTTGACCTAGAGATTCCACTATTAGGCATATACCTCAAGGAAGATGATGATGACCATTAAAGGGGCACGTACACCAAAGCATTTATGGGATTGCTTTTTGCAAAGAACTGGAAACAACAAAAAGGTCCATGAATTGAGGAATAGCTAAACAAACCGTGACACAGGAATGTAAAGGCATAGGACAGAGCTGTAAGAAACGACATGTGTGATAAGTACAGAGAAGCATGAAAACAGCTACATGAACTGATTAGAGAGAAGTCAGCCGAGCCAAGAAAACAATATACAAAATGAATACAACAATGGAAATGGAAAAAACAACCACCACAAAACTACTGAATGTTGGAAAGAGAGCTAACAGCTTGGAAAAAGAGGTACAAAACTTTACCTGAACAACGAACTCAGTGAAAATTAAAATGGGCCCCAAATGGAAGATATGACTACACGAGACAACAAAAATGTTTGAAACAAAGCCAAAGGACCACGAAACTTGAAGAAATGTGAAATACAGCAAAACAAATGACCAAAAACCAGAGGAGACAGAATTTAAGAAATGGCAAGACTACCTGAACATCACACCCAAGGTGCTAGCAATGAAAAGGTTTTCATAAGAAAACATTAGGATAGGTTTTCATATGGAAAACTGAGAAAGCTCAATGCTTTAACACACCGAACTCCAAAATGCTGAGGATTTGGCCTAAGTCAAACATAGAGTTGTTCTTAAGAGGTACTACAATATTTTTCAAAGTTTCAGCATATGAGAAGTTTCTATATAGATATTCTATATAGATGTTTTTTTATTTTTTTACTCCCTATCATTTTCTCTTCAGTAAATGAATATAAGCAGTACTGTTAGAACTGGTATAACAACACATAATAAAAATACAAACTGATATTGTAAACAGAGAAGAGGGCAGGGAAGTAAAAAACTTAGAATAAATACCTGGGACTTTCTTTTCCTCTAACATATTACTTAATCTAAAGGGAGCACAAAATTAATATTAGAGACATCCACAGCATGATTTTCCACTGAAAATATGCCTTTGCTTTTATAACCTTGTAGTCTTTGAAATATTCTGCACCTCAATACATTCTTTCTTTTCTAGCTATTTTATTGAAAGCTACTAGCAAAGCAAATAAATAAGACCTGCTTTAATTTGATGAAAAGAAAAGAGAAAAGTAAATGCTTCAGAATAACAAAAACCAAGTTTGGCCAAAGAAAAGATATTGAGAAGACAACTCCCTCAACCCCACTGCAGAGATGAGAGGTGTACAACATGGCATTTTCAGACTTTTGCCATATACAGATCAGTTTTACTGATTTCTTTTTCTCATCTTCCTATTGTTTTTAAATTTTTTTTTTGTTATACAAGAGGGTTCTCTGAAAAAGAAGAGGAGGAGAGATATGGGAGAAATTTGGGCAATGTAAAAATAAAAAATATTGGCAAAAATTATTTTTAAAAATAATGATTACTTTTCCATAGTTTTTAATGCTTTACAAAGTAAATTTATATATCTTTATCTGTCTATCATCTATCTATCTATCTATCTATCTATCTATCTATCTATCTATCTATGTATATCCTTATAACAACAGGTAATGGTAGTAACAACATTACTATCCCTATTTAACAGGTGAAAAAAAGACTATAGCCCAATAAAATAAAGAGACTTATCTCAGGTCACACAGCTAATAAAGGACTGAGCTGTCTGGATCCAAGTCTCCTGTAGCCACCTTCAATGTTATTTCCTCGACATCATGCAATCAGAATTGAATGGCTCTGAGGGCTGTTCCTTAAGTTGCACCTATATTGGTCACAAGTGGTCAACACATCAGAAGCCATGAGAAAAATGCTCCAAATCACTAATAACAGAAAGGCAAATGAACACAATTAGAAGGATTGGACTTTACACCCATAAAATTCACTAAATAAATAAGGGATGAAAATAGTATCTGTTGGAGGGACTGCAAAAAGACAAACCCACAGGTGCACCATGTATTAGTTGAGCTCTGAATTGGCCCAACTGTTGTTGAAAATAATTTGGAATTATGTGAAAAAAAGTGATGAAAATATACAGAACTATTGAACTAATATTACTACAGCAAGGCATACATTCCAAAGGTCAAGGGAAGATGGAAAGCTTGGAATAGCGAAATATTGACAGTGCCATTTTTTCATAGTAACAAAGGCCTAGAAACAAAGTTGCCTACTGATTGGAGAATGGCTAGACAATTATAAAAATGAACAAAATGGAATATCTTATTGTCATAAGTATTTCAAACTATGCAGAATTCTAAAAGAAAAAAATACTCCAGAAGACTTGCTATCACCTGATGCAGAGCAAGCAGAGCAGAACAGAGAACAGTGAACACACTGGCCACGATAATGTAAACAATCCAAGAGAGTATTGCAATTGGAATTAGGGTGAAGATCAGCCTTGACTCCAGAGCTGTAAGGATGAAACAAGATAAAGAAACAAATAAACAATAAATGGTGAAGTCTGGAAATAGTATCAAGGTGCTTTACTTTTCTCCTCTCTGCTACAAGGGAGGAATCCATGGAGTCAGGAAAGTCATGTGAAGAGGTGACACAGGTGTTTGGGGGAAGGTAGAGGGAGATGAAAATTATCAAAACAATTTTTAAAAACTAAAAATGTTTGTGACAGCCTGACCAAAGTATTGATAATTTGATTTTCCTTCTAGGCCAGTTCCCCTAATTGGTCTTTGCCTTTCAAAGCTATGATGAAGACTCTGGCAATCTGGGCCATTATAATACCTAACATTTGTCGATTCTGGTTAACTAGCAACTTAACAACATCGCTGCCAACACTACTAGACAATATGTTTGATTTAAACTTTGAAAAGGTAAGTTCATAATTCCTGCCTACTGTTCATTTATCTAATGGATTTTTTAATCAAGCAAGCACTTCTGATGTTCCAGGCACTGGTTAGGAACTGGGCATTCAAAGGAAAAAAAAGACACAGTCCTTGTTGTCAAGCAACTTGCATTGTATTGGAGGAGACAATTATAAATAAATAAGAATATATGAAATAAATACTGGAGAAATTAGGAGGAAGGGGACAAGTGGATCAGGAAAGGCCTCATATAGAAAATATCACATAACCAGAGGTTTAAAAGAAATGAGGGATTCTAAGAGGCAGAGATGGGGTGAAGAGAGTATGTTTCAGGGATGAAGGAGACAGCCAGTGAAAAGGTACAGAGATGGTAGATTGAATGTTTGTACCATTCTTACAATTCTTACATTTCTAGCATTAACAACATTCTTATTTTTAAAGGAAAAATATCTTGTTTTGTAAGAAAACCAGGGAGGATCAAAGATGGTAATCCCAGAGACAAAAGGGTCACATTCTCTGTGTTTTGTTTCCATGGCAGTAACCCAGAAGAGAGGAGAGTAGTGCTTGAACTATGGTTGTGGCAATGTTGAGTAGGGAGAAATGAATGTATACAAGATACACACCAGGGGTAGAAATGATGAAATTGGAAGCAATTGACTGTATATGTAAAGTTCCTGATCCAGGTCACTGGGATGATGTAACAATGGGAACATGTCAGAGAGGGATAGGTTTAAGGGAAAGGTGAGGACTTCTTTGGATGTGTTGAATTTGAGATGCCTAAGTTAGATGTGTCCAATAGTCAGTTTAAGATGCATAGCCAGAAAAAATAACTAAATAAATGAATAAATGAGTGAATGAATAAATAAAGTAGAAAAGCAAATAAATGAACAAACAAATACATAAATACATAAATGAATACATAAATGAATGAATGAATGAATAGATAGATAGATAGATAGATAGATAGATAGATAGATAGATCCATGCCCAGAGCTTCTGAGAAAGACTCAAATTGGATTATAGATCTGGGAGCTATTGGTATCAAGATGTAATTAAAGCCATGAGAGCCAAATCAGTCACCAGACGACTGAGTGTAAAGAGAGAAGAGAGCCCAGGACAAAGCTTTGGGTCACACCTACAGTTATAAGGTGTGATGTAGAAGATGAAACAGCACCTGAGACTGAGAAGAAACAGTTCTACAAGTGGGAGGAAAGAGAGTACTGGTGCCATGAAAAGCCAAAGAGGAGCTAGGATCAGGTGGTTACTTGTCAAATTCTGAAGAGGTCAAGGATTATTTCAATTCTCAATAGATTCCCACACAAGCAACACACCTGACCTCTCTGAAACCACAAATCATTGAAAGGTAGTTAGACAAGGCTCTTAAACCTGCACAGGGGTTCTTAAACCTTTCTGTGTCATGGACCCTTTGGGCAATTGGTCTGGTGAAACCTAAGGGCCCCTTCTCGGAATAACATTTTACAATGTATGCATTTTGGCACTCCTGGCACATAGTAGGTTCTCAATAAATGTTGATTGATTTACATTGGATCATAAACGGAACCAATATTATTGACATAGTTATCACAATACTTTTTAAAAGTCCACCAATCTTAAATCTATAAATCTGATTTGGTCCAAAATCCCCACTTAAAAAGAAAAAGAACATGAGCCCCAGAGGGGTAAAATTATGTATCCATGATTCCATAGTGATGGCAGAGTCAGGAACTAAATGAACCCAGTGTTTTTGGCTCCCAGTCCAATGTTATCTTTACTACTTCAAGTTATCTGTATGACACTTCTTATAGCTCTCGCGCTCCTCTCTCTCTCTCTCTCTCTCTCTCTCTCTCTCTCTCTCTCTCTCTCTCTTTTTGAGGCAACGGGTAAGTAACTTGCTCAGGGTCACACAGCTAGTGAGTGTTATGTGTCTGAGATCAGATTGGAACTCAGGTCCTCCTCACTCCAAGGCCAGAGTTCTATCCACTCTGCCACCTAGCTGCCCCCTTATATCTCTCTTGGAATACAATGGTTGAAGTATAACCAAGGAGAACATACGTGGACTCTATAACATTTCAATTAAGGATTTTAGAGTATAGTCAGCAACATGTCTAAAAGCAGCCTCTATCTGAAACTATCTCCTCTGCTTACTGTGGGAGTGCCTGTGATTTAGGAATCACTCCTTTAGATTTTTTCCTAACATAAGCATCTGTAATTTCTTTAAATGCAAATTTCTTTGGGAAGGGTGAGATACTAACTTGGTTACCAGTCATTGGAACCTTAGTGTGACTTGGTATTACAAATTAGCAATGGACAAAGTTCATGGGGTCCTTTTGGCAAAAATACTGGAGTGGTTTACCATTTCCTTCTCAGCCTTATTTTATACATGATGAACTGAGGCAAATGAGGTGAAGTGACTTGCCCAGGGTCACACAGCTAGTAGGTGTCTGAGGCCACATTTAAACTCAAGAAGATGAATCTTCCTGACTCCAGACCCAGCACTCTATCCTCTTTGCCACCTAGGTGCCGCAGGTTACCACTCAATTAGTTTAAGCACCATAACATAATGCTCTAACTCAAAAATAAGTGCTCTATTCCAACCTCCTGTGCTGCTTTGCAACAGTTAGCTGAGAAGACAGACCTGAAGAAATTGGAATTTCGATGGAAGGAGCTAAAAGGAATAATTGCAGGTTTTATAGTACTGATGCCATTTACTACCAATGTGGGATGCATGGGATGTTAAAGGAGGACCAGCACCTCTAGTGTGAGGTCTTGCTAAGCCTTCTTCAGGGCTGATCATCCACCTCAGGTACCCACTTGTCATCCAACTCTTCTCTGCAACATGTACAGTGGTCACCCCCTGGTAAAACCATCTTGTCAGATAGGCTAAACCAGGTTGAGGGTAACTGACAAGCCTCAAACACATTGGTGGTAGGGGGATGTCTGCCCCAAGTATGTGAAGACCTCCCCCAGTGGCATAGGCAGATGAGAACAATTTGTCCCGATGTCCATGAAGGCCGCTGAAGCAGGCACTGTGGAGTACTTACAGCTTGATCAGATATCAAAGGTTCCAAGGTCATTCATTGCACCCAGACCATTGCAAGTCATCTTGACTTTCATCCTGCCACTGGACTTCAACAACCCAGGAAGAGAGAGTGAGACTGATGGCCTTTCCCAACTCTGCCTCACTTAAGTCCAATTTACACACAAGTCAAGACATCACCCATCATCCACTATTTTACCCCAATATCATGATGTCATTGGTCCTCTTTGAAAATGATAGATGAACTACCTATGGGCTCTTGGGCCAGTCCCTTAAACCAATCTGGGCCTCAGTTTTTGCATCTATAAAAAGAGGGAGTTGAATTAGATGAATGGTAATGTCCCTTCTGACCCTAAGTCTATAAACCTAAGGTAAGGGTAGGTTTCCCTGCACTCTGAGTGCATGAGGGGATCTGTGTTTTCTCTGCACCAACAAGCAAAGATGTACACTTAAAAGGGAGACTGAATGAACCAAAGACAAATCTCATCTACTACTTTTGCCCAGCAGCCTGTCTCTGTGACCAGTTTAGATAACAGTGCAGGTTGCTGCTATGAATGAATTAATGAATGAATGAAAGAATGAATGAATGAATAGATTGCATGTCCACCTTACTCCATTGTGCACAATTTCTTCTCCATAGAATGGGTTTCTGAGTGCACTGCCTCTGATTACATCATGGATCAGTATGACTGTGGGAAGTAAAATAGCTGATTTCCTCCTGTCCAAGAAGATTCTCAGACTCATCACAGTTCGGAAACTCTTCACATTCCTGGGTAAGGACAGTGTCATATATTCCACCATTTCAAGAGATTTCTTGCCATTTATTTCAAAAACATGTTGAGTAAATAATCATTTAATAAGCACCCACTATGCACAATGTCCCATGTACTCAAGATACAAAGACAAAGAGGGCAGCTAGGTAGCACAGTGGATAAATCAGTGACCCTAGAGTTAGGAGGACCTGAGTTCAAATGTGGCCTCAGACACATATCACTCACTATGTGTGTGACTCTGGACAAGTCACTCAACCCTAACTGCCTCAGCAAAAAAAAAAAATCACAAAAACAAGCAAAAAGATAGTCCCTGTCCTCTAAGATTATTTTCTAATGGGAAAGACAACATATGTATGCATTTTTGTGTGCTTTTGCTCCCCAGGAATGTTTTTCCCATCTTTATTCACCGTAGCTATCCCATATGTTGGCTCCACTACTGCTATAACCTTCATGATACTGGCTAGCTCAGCAAGCACCCTGTGTTTCTCTGGATTCATCGTTAATCCCCTAGACTTTGCTCCCAGGTAAGATGCTCTGCCTTCTTTCTTCTTCCTCTGGCAGTGTGCAATTGTGGAAAAGAGGCTGGATGCAAATCCCAACTCAACACCCACTGTGTGATATTGGGGGAAAAGGAGGGGAAAACCAATAAGATATGGCAGCTTGGGGTGTAAGAGAGTAAGGAGTGAGTTAGATGTCCAAACCTGGAAGGATGATGACATGCTTACAAAAATAGGGAAAAACTAAGTTGGACAGTGTTAACAATAGAGATAATTGAACCCATGGGAGCTCGTCTGTTAAGACAGGGAGCAGAGAGGGAAAAGGAAAGGAGATTGAGAAGGAGTGGTCAGAAAGGAGAAGGAGAGAGTAACCAGGAATAGGAAGTGGTCAAGAGTAGTCCAAAGCTACAAATAAATCAAGTTAAGTTTAAAGAATAAGTTAAAGATTCAGAAAAATACTCCAGATTTGCAATTGAAAAATTGTTAATTACCTTGAGAAGACTTGTGGCCATTATGAGTGGTATTGGAAACCGGACTAGAATTCATGTAGATGGGAGTTAGAAGTAAGAAAAAGGAGAGCAATGAGTGCAGTTGACCCTTTCTAGACAGTTGGGTGCAGAACAGAAGGGGAGAAACAAGAAAGAGTTTGAGGAAATGGCAGAATAATAGGAAAGACTTTTAAAGATGGGCGGGGGGGAGGGAAGGGAACCTAGGTATGTTTCTAGGCAGAAGGGAAGAACCTGTAGAGATGGCAAGACTGATCATTAGATATAGTTCCCAAGGGAAATGGGAGAGACAGCATCAAGGTCACAAGTAGAGGGGTTGGCTTTGGTGAGGAGAAGGTGTGGTTCATTATCAGAGATTTGAGCAAAGGAGGAGAAGACAATCAGTGATATGGATGGGAAATGAAAAATAGGAAAGGAAAGTGAGTGAATAGTGTGTGACAGCCAGTTAGGAAGAATCAAAGGTGTGTTACATAATGAAATAATTATGAAGATAATCCAGCATTGGGCTTTGGCAGAGTACTAGCAGCTGTAGAACAAGGGAAGAAGTCAACAAGCATTTACTAAGCGCCTCCTATGTTTCAGACACAGGGATAGGAGCTGGCCTTTCAAAGAAGAGCAAAAGCAGTCCCTGCCCTCAGAGACAACATGAGAACAACTATTACACTATATATATATATGACAAATTAGAGATTAATCTCAGAGAGAAAACAGTAGCACCAAAGAGGAAGCAGAAAAAGTTTCTTGCAGAAGGTAGGATTCTAGGTGGAGTACAGTGTGTAGCTTCATATCAGTTTGAGATACAAAGATGCTTGTTGAAATGCACTGAATTGAAGACAGTATTCATAATGCGTGGGCATGAAGTTTCTTTACAATCAACAAGCCTTTCATTTCTCTCATTCCATTTTCCTTATCAATGTTTCTCAATATACTTTTAACCGTTGTCTTCTGGTCCCATCTTTTCATTAACGTCTTGAAGTAGTGATATCTATGTTGATTTAATTTGGAAGGTCTTATAAAGTCCTTTATAGAATTGCTCTTCCATTTCATCCTTTGAACACAAGTTGGTATGGAAACTACATTTTTTTTTCATGGCACTCTCTCTTTTTTTTTTATAGACACTTAAATGTTCATGGAATGTGAGATTACTAGATGTCCCATGAAAACCTGTTTCTTGTAGCCATTAGATGTAAGATAAAATCAGCTCCACTGTCCCCTTCATTTGTTTATCCCAGGAGACCTTTGAAACCATCTTTCAGTTCAACTGCAACTTCCTTCTGTCTTCTGCCTTCATTTACAGCGAGGATGACAAGACTGATACAATCCAATTCCTCCAACAGTATACCTATTTGGTTGGCTAGTGGACAAGGTTCTTACACGTAAGGCAGCAAAGGCTAAATTCGTAGTTGATATACAAGGTCTATGATTCTTAGCCCCTTGATTCCCTTTTCTGCTACCCTATCCCTGCCATTGTAGAAACCAAAAATGGCTACACTAAAGTAAGGACTATTTCCTATTTTTCTTTGTTTCTTGGGTTGCTATTACCAAATATCCCCATGCAAATAGCTCAATAAAGAAGAGCCACTCGGTATTTCTGTCACATTTGCTCTCTAGGAAGAAAACTCGATTTATTTCCAGAATTTGAAAAACCCAGAGCCTTTCCATTATAGCAGAACCAGACAAACCACTCTCTTTTAGGATAGCCTTCAAAAACCCGGGGTCCCTCGTGTGTTGCAATCAGTCTACAGAATATGACTTGGATGAGGCTTTTTAATACTTTCCTTATACAGGTTCCTATGTATTCTTTTGTATCTTAACCCCCTAATTGTGACATTATGAACAGTGCACAATATAGTAGGATTATCATTTCATTTCTGCCACCTTTTAACATAGGGCAAAGTCACCATTATATTTGGTTTCACAGGGGGAGGTCTAAATAAATAAGTTTTATAGCTTAAATATGGACCTAGTTGATAATGGATAATCACACCACATGTAGTGAGAAATACTCCAAGTCATGTACCAAAGCCAGACTTGGGTAGAGTGAGTTTCTAAATCAGAAATTGGGGAAGCACTTGAGTTGGTCATCAGAGACCCAGGAATAGAAGTGGTTCTGCAGTCGACCTTGGAGTCTCATGAATGAGGACTTGTGATTAACTGCTTGACATAGGATCAGAATAAGTCAGTGGAAAATTAGAAGTTCTTGTTATTGCTTATGTGTTTATGGTTATTAGAACCACTCAGCCTAAATGACTCCTTATTGGAGTTGTATCATTTATAACTACAACATCAGATAAACATCACAGTTATCACAGTCTTATTAGCTTTCATGATTGCTTGATAATGAGGATAGCATGTAGATGGCTCTTTAAGGTTTGTGAAGCACTTTACAAATATTATTTCTCCTTATCCTCATGACAGCCCTGGGAGGTAGGTGCTATCATTATCCCCATTTACAGATGAGAAAACTGAGGCAGATAAAGGGTAAGTGATTTGCCCAAGATTGCACAGCTAATAAGTGTGTGGGGCCAGATCAGTTCAGGTCTACTTTTTTTTTAAATGAGGCAATTGGGGTTAAGTGTCTTGCCCAGACTCACACAGCTAGGAAGTATTATGTTTCTGAGGCTGGATTTGAACTCAGGTCCTCCAGAATCCAGGGCCAGTGCTCTATCCACTGTGCCACCTAGCTGCCCCCAGTTCAGGTCTTCTTTACTGTAGGTCCAGAATGCTATCCACTGTGCCTTCCAGCTGCCTAATATCGTATTGGTGATAATATGGAGACTATGGGTCACTAAAACCACCAGATCTTTTTCAGACAAACTTATAACCACATCCACCCCTTGTGTTCCTATAAAGTTCGTATTTCATATGCACATATAACACTTTACATTTATCTCCTTTAATGTTCATATTATTTGATTTGGCCCAATAATACTATCTTTCAAGATTATCTTTCTTTAATTTCCTAACTCTTGCATCCAGGCCCCCAGGTTTTATTTTGATTTTTGGGTTTGGTTTTTTTTGGGGAGGTAATTTTTAAAAATTTTAAATTAAATACAAAACAAGAAAAGAAAAAGGAACAAAATTAAAACAGACTTAAATAAAACTAAAATGCAAAATAAGAAAAGAAAAAAAAAGCCAGGTGCACAGCAGAACATAAGAAAGAATTCAAAATTTAAAATAATAAATTTCCATTTTAAGAAATTATACAATAAATATTTTGCATTATGTTCAGAGCTGTCTATCTCTTCTTTACTTCCACGTAGATTTTATTTTGTTCTCTGCCGTGAACTTTTTACTTTATTCTTTTTCCCCCTTCCTTTCCACCTTCCCCAAGAAGGCTACAATTAAGCATGTATGTGTGTTTGTATATACACATACACATATACACATCTACACATGTACACATACACATATACATAAACATATCCATACATATACACATACGTACACTTCCACATACATATACATAGATATCTATAATATCAGAAAAATATACACATACGTATTCATATGCAGCTATGTAAGATTGCACTATACTTGCTTGTCCTCTCTTTCTCTAAAGGTGGTTAACATCTTCCTTCATAAGTCCAAGTCTTTCCAAATTTTTCTAAATCTGCCAACTCATCATTTCCTCCACCACAACAATATTCTGACCTTATACTATCTAATTATTTTAAATAGTCTAACAGAGCTGTGGAACCCACAGCCTTAAGGCCATATGTGACCTTCTAGGTCCTTAAGTGCATCCTTTGGGCTAAGCCCAAATTTTACTTCCTTTTAATAAAAGGATTTGTTCTGTAAAATTTGGATTCACCCACCCCTGGACCAATATTGATTAATATGGCTGTCATACAGTGTAGTTTCCTTATTTTTCTCTTTTGATTAAGTCTATCTTAGCTTTGACTTTGTCTGAGATTGTGATTATGACCCTTACTTTTTTAACTAATAAATTCTATTTCTGAATTTTATTTTACTTTATGCTTGTGTGTGTCTCTTATTTCCTATAACTCCTAACTTCTCTGCTTTTCTTCTACCTGCTGTCTTGCCCTGCTATTACTTAACCTATCCCCTCCTCCACAGCACGGATCCCACCCTTATGCTTTCCTCCCCTTTATAATTTCCCCCACACTTTCCCCTTGACCTCTCATTTCTATCTGAATTTTGAAGACTTTTATAGCCTTCCAAAATATGTTATTCCCCTTCAATCCCATTTCCATTCATGTAGGCACCCTTCTATATCCCCCTTATCCTATTCACTCACCTTCTTATTTCTTTATAAATGTAGAAGACATTTATTCCCTTCTAAATGAATATATTATTCTCTCTTTAACCCAGATCTGATGTGAGTAGGGTTCCCTTCAAAAATCACCCCTTATCTTCTCTCCCTGCATCCCCTTAGCCTGTTATTTCTTTCTGAATTTTATACCCTTCTAGATACATATGTAGAATTCCCTCTTTACCCCATTCCCAACGAAAGTAGGGTTCCAAAACTACCAGCCCTCCTCCATCATCTAATTCCTC